CCCTGTAATCATTTATCACCGTTTATCTCATTGATTTTACTATACAAAAAATTATTATCAAATATTATTGCAAGCTATTATTATTATTGCATTATTATTATTATTATTATTATTATTATTATTATTATTATTATTATTATTATTATTATTATTATTATTGCATTATTATTGTATTATTATTATTGTTATTATTGCAATGAATGGTTATTTTATATCAATACTTATTTGTTATTACTATCATGAATATATTCTATTCTGTTTTTTATAAACTTTAATGTTTTCCTTATTTTATATTGGATTAATATAACACTATAAACTCCATTTCTATCGACAACTTACTGAGATTTATACAACTTAACACAACATTATCCTAATCTCCATCTTTAGAAAGATGTTACATAAGTATATTTAGCATCAATCTATTTGTACTAATTATTTTTTTCAATAATGCGATTTAATAATTATCGTTCTTGGTGGGAACCATGTTATAACAAAATCATCAGCGATAAGTAAACACGTTTATTTTCACTTATAATGTTTAAAGACATAGAAACATGTATTATTATTGTATGTATTGTTGTATGATTTTTTTTCGATAAATCTATTAATGAATTGCTAATAAATTATATTTTTGCAGTTAGGTAGAATAATTGAATTAATATTTTTGTAATTGATAAAATTGATGGATTTTTTAAATTATAATAATTAGAATGAACTTATTGGTGAATAATACAACTGTAGGCCTATATAATATTCCTTTTTTGATAATGTTTCACACATTTGGTAATTCTTGGAGGGTTAAAAATATAAAATACATTTATGATACAATGTTAGTAACATTAGTTATATTTCTAATAATTGCTTAAAATAGAAACAGAGTTGAATACCTTTCAACTTTTATTTTTAATTCAAATCGTTTTTGATTACCGTGATACGATCATTAATTAACATGATTCGTTAATTAACAGAATTCGTAAAATGTCGTTCTGTCATACTGTTGGAAACACATTGAAATCAAAATACAAAAAAAAAACAAAAAAAAACATTAACCCAAAAGCAGTATGGATTAAAAAAATTAATTAATCCATAGGTACCTGTAGAAGAATTATTTTCGTTTCCATAAATCCAAAAATATGTGAAACGGTTTAGTTGATGTAGGATTTGAGCTAATGAACTTCATTACTGACTTACTCAACTGCAGAATAGCCGAAGCTTAGCAAACCATGCATTCATTCATTCATGAAATAACGTAAAAATATGTTTTCAAAATCGAATATATGCAGCTAATTAATATAATGTTTTGCTCGATTTATTTAAAGTAAAAGAAATTTAGAGTTTGTAAGTGGTACTACAAGACATAGGCATAACTAAATAATATGGTTATTCAAACAGAATTTATGAATTTAGATTTGTATTTTTGCAGTTTTTATTATCAGAATGGCTAAAATATATCTGCTTTTTTTATCTGCCTTATTTTTTTTAAACACAGGACCTGTAGAATGATGACTGTTGTGTCATGTAGACCCTAATTATTACGGGCTAATGAGTAAGCAAACCCAAACGGTCGTTATTTTGTTCCCAAACATAAATGTGAATTATTTAAAAATTGTAATGTACGTGAGGGCCCCAAAATCAGCTTTGCTGGATGGGTTACCCTCCTTAAACACGGTTTTAATAAATAAATAATAAAGCTTACTATTTCTAAACCCTGCTAACAAGACTGTCACTTTACTTTATTTACTCCATTTTTGGATTGTCAATTCTTTTATTAATTATATATTCATGTAATATAATAGTTATATTAACCAAAGCCTAATGTAGACCTATGTCTTCCAAATGCTGCTATATGTGTGTGTGTGTGTGTGTGTGTGTGTGTGTGTGTGTGTGTGTGTGTGGGTGTGTGTGTGTGTGTATGTATAAAAAATATTGAATTTCATAATCATATATATTCATAATCAAACGAATATAAGTTTGATTATAATGACTTATTAATTTTCATATAAATTACTGAATGGATCATAAAAGCAAACAAGAGCCAGGGGTGTTGAACGCAATAACTGTTAAACACTCTTATACTTAGTGAAAAAGTTTTTTGAATATATAATTAATACTATGGTATAATGGTACCATATAATAGATTATAGATAACTAATACTAATACAGTAACTGTAACATAGTTTTTTGAACAGCGATATGTATAAAATACACATTGTAGTTATTCCATTTCAATATGGTTGGCGTTGGTGTTTTAATTTGCTTATTTAGAGGGTTATTCTAGTGCTATACGGTAGTAATTAAACTATTAACCAATAACTAATAGAATACTGATTGACAAACAAATATTGTTTTTGTTATAATTTATAGTATAAAATCATTGTTTTGCTCAATATTATTGCATTTACGGGAAATTCGTTATCGTACTCATGAGCCTTTATTCACACTACACTTACATAAAAGAAAACCTTTATATCGCATGATTGTCTTTTTAATGCAATTATAGGCCTACTAATGGATAGGTCTGATATTCACCGTTGTCTCAGCAACCTTCCTCTATTATAAGCTTGTGCTATTATCATTTACTTTTGTAATGTAATTTCTGTCGACGTCAACAATATATCTGCTATTTATTTAATAATTTCAACATAATTTCAATTAGGAAAATTAAAACTTCATTAAAATACAAACCACAACACAAAGAAAATAGATGACGTGCCTATGATTTCTGTTTGCAGAGTTTTATAGTTTGAATCAACAAAAATGATGATTTCAGACTAATATTTATGTTTGTCTGCAAGCGCCGTATTTTTCAACATTTTGTCTATTTTAGAATTACTGTACTAAAATAAAACTAAACTTCATTGTGTTAATATATACTGAAAGGTCCACTGATTAATCTCAGATAAGATAGTTTAATACATACTCCAAGTATCGAAATTCACGTCATCCCGACACGATGGCGTGCATTTCGATTGGAGTATGTATTATACTATCTTAACAGGCCTATAGGCTGCTTCCCAAATCTGTAGAAGCGTCATTCAGAGAGTAATTCGTTTTACCGTTTGTTTGCTGGGGAGCATAGCATGATTTGTGTATGCCCTACTAAACATTTTAGGTATTAACCTTATTTGAACATGTCATGTAATTGTATCCTTTAACAAACGAAATATGGCTAAATGAAATCTAAAATTCACGGTTCATAAACCTTTATTATCATCCGCAGATAAAATGGCATAAGAATGTAAACAAATACAACTATACAATATAAGGATAAACAGGTGACATGGAAAAGAGTAAAATGGAGTGGAGATATTCAGTAGCTCTTTTTTTTAAATTGATGACCATAACATTGGATCTGACTTAAATTTTAAAAGATAAAACTGTTAACTAACTCTTTGATAGAAAGAAGTTATAATTGTATAATCGGGATTTTCCATATTAATATCTTATTTATCAGATAGCTACTAATATAGCCCCATTAAAATCAAACCAAATCAATTAATCTGAATTCACTTCTTATCATTTTACTAATAATGCACTACACGATATCGGTCTAAACTCTTCGTTTAATACTAGCAAAGCTAGATAATGATAATATAACATCTAACATATAAAATATATTATCTAACATATCTTAATTCGCAATTTATTATTAGTGTTGTGAAATATTAGTAATAATTAGTAATAGCCTATAAGCATAGGCCTATAATTTGGTTAAGATGGTGTGGGTAGATTTTGTTTGCGATTATCCATAACCTTCCATTAAAATTATAGGAGAAAGTCGATTGATCTTAAGGTTTAATATACTGTACATTTATATGTTCACAGTGTTATTTTTTCTTTCTATAACAATCTCATTATTTATTCCAGATCATAGATCACTTATTTACTTCATTTTCTGTTGAACTGTAAGAAAGCGTTTTAAACTTGATCAGCTAGCGACAGAAACCCTCTCAGCATTTACTGATACATTATCCGATGATACTTCATTTTTCTGATCTTTTCACTTAAAGAAGATTGCAATTTCCTGGCGGTGAAAACAGTAGCCGTTGTTCTGTTTTCTTGTAATGTATCATCCATAATAATGTTACCTCCCTTTTAAAAGTTCAAAACCATCTTCTATTGGCTGTCGACACGACTTTCCTGTTGACTGTCTGAAGTCGTGAATGCGTTTTTTTTTTTCTTATTCATTCAGCTCGTCACAATGCTAGTGATTTGTATACATTTTTAGAGCGACAGATGAAGATGATAGAGATTAAACCGTATATTTCAGCTTTTAACTTACGGAAAAGACTCATCAATTCATTGTCAACTCTTTTATAAAATTATGAGAAAATTGGGAAGAGGGGTTTTCCGGCACCGCAAAGTATTTCACATCGAATCAAAGGCTTCGTTTCCGCATGTATTAATATAAATAGAGAGCATAGTACGACGCAGTATGGTAATATACAAGACACTGCCATTTCCCGTGTAAGTTATCATTATTCTGTTAGTGTATCTTATCATTTGAAATTGTGAAGGAGGGGCAGGTGGCTGCAAGCGCCTTGGGTTATTACCGCGGGCAACCTAAATCTCATCAACCATCGTCATTGCCAAGCACATCCTTACAGTACACGTATCCTGAACGTCTTCATTCACACCTGTGCTCCAATCTTCTTTAGGAAGTTATGACACGAGGTCTAATATCTGCAAAGCATCGACCCATCACCGGCTATCAAGCGATAATACAACCAAACCGATTGACACTCACATCTCTTTAACGTAAGCATTTAATCCACCAATCAAATCTTTCAAATTGCTCTTTTCTTATGATCAGCAAAGCAATAATCTTTACGTGATTATGAAAACCAGAAATTGATGGCTGTTAATGAATGTAGAGAATTAATACTACGAGATCTTAAACTACTGGGAGTTACAGGAAAGGGGAAAAAGAACAATAGAGTGCAGAACTGCAAGGTGGCTTAGTACATGTTATACAAATCGACGAAGACAAACAATATTAAAATAGGTAACATGATCTGTAATTAGCAGTGTACGATTGAACTATAAAAAAAACTAAATTTATACACATTTTATAGTTGTTCAATTTAATTGCGTCACGCGTGTAAGCCTTATCTTGTACATAAATGCGTTTAGGCCTACATACTTGCATAACTCCCATAATTAGGCTTATAAAAAATACCGGTAAGTATTTTTTTGGAGCATTAGATCTATTTTATCGATCCAAACTTACATGCCGTTACTTACTCGACCGCGGGTGGTAAACTGAGCGCGTAAAATAGGAAATAGACGATAACACCGCGTGCACTGATGCACACAACGCCAAACGCCAAACGCGAAAAGACCGATCGAACGCAATGACTTTCTACACCTATACGACACCAACTAACAATAAAAATCAGATCTATCTTCCAATCGAATTTCAAGCAATTAATTTGATATGGATGTAAATGTTTGCTTCATTAAACCTGCATATTGCATGGAATCTATAAGCCTTCCTGGCATTTGACGACATAATTAAATGAACAGTAAGATATAAAACAAGGTTAATATAATAATAAACATATTTTTTCTGATTTCCGGGGCACTATAAATATTCCATGAAATATATTGTATTGAAAAATAACCACAAAAAGTATCTTTAATAATTGTGTACCATCTATTTAGTTAAATGGGGAATTTTTATTGAAATTAAACTTATAAATGTTATAAATGATCCGTCCTCATCTGGTACCTTTTGGCAAGTGCGTCACTTTGTCGTCCCTGGCAACAATTGCTACTCTTGGCGCTCTCTACTTAACAACAAAGTTCATGACTGCATCACAGGATAGAAACATCAAAGTGCCGACACGAGTTCCACAAACTATTTCACCTGTCTCTTGTTTTAATTGTTTTATTAATAGTTCAAATATCCTCAGTTTCATTATTTGGTTTGACAAATGGTAATCGTGGTTTGAAATTATTATATATTTTTTTCTTTTTAAATATTGATTACCAATAATACAACAACCTATATTAAGTAAATTAATTTAAATTAAATATTATTATTCTTGCTAATTATTATTATTATTTTGAATTTTATTATAGTTAGGACCTACTACTGTATTAGTATTCCTATTATCATAAGCATTATCATTATTATTAATAGTTTTATTATCATTATTATTGATAATTTTAAATTATTATTATTATCTAATTATAATATTAATAGTATTACAACATTATTATTATTATTATTATTATTATTATTATTATTATTATTATTATCATTATTATTATTATTATTAATTTTCTTATCATCGTCATTAATTAGACTGATATAATTATTCGTACAGTACATGTATATTCATTTACCGGACAATGTTTATTCACGGCAACGCAGTTTATAGGCCCTATTCGTTTTATTTTCGCTAACAATAAAATTAAATAAAAATTGAATCGTTATCCTCTTCGTATTCCTCGATTATTTTTGTTAATGGTGGTGTTTATATTGTGAGGCCTAGTACTGGTTACAAATACATGGCGCCTGCGGCTATGAGGTATTGTGAAAAACGTATGAATATGATCATCACATGTGAATTGACAATGAGAAAAGCAACATTAGAAAAGTTCGCCTATAATAAATATATTATATAGACTGCGTATACAGTATAATGAATAAAAAAGTAATAATGAATCATAAGTAAATAAAATCAATACAATGAGATAGGACTCTAATTTAGTTTATTTTTAACGGTAAATGATCTTTTTTTGCTCTCGACAGCTGCACCGAAGTCTATGTTCCCTGGATTGGCATGCAAAGTGTGCGCAGATATTTCAAGTGGAAAACATTATGGTATCTATGCCTGCAATGGATGTAGCGGCTTCTTCAAACGAAGTGTGCGCAGAAAACTGGTCTACAGGTGAGGCTACTATTAAAGATGTACTGTCCCTTGAAAATGACCAAAATCATAAAAAAATAATTTTTTAATTAACTTGCTCATTTTGCAGTAACATAAAAATTGTTAACTTGAGCATAGAAATTATTTAATTAAAAAAATGTGTTCCCTGATTTTTTAACTGGATAATTATAATACAGATAATAAAACACTTCCAGTGACTGGAAGTGTTTCTATCATTTTTTCGCTGTAAAATGATGGTTTTTATGGGTAAGCATTTTTTAAATACACTAGTTTCTATGTTCAAGTTGATAATTTTTATGTTACTTCAAAATGAGCAAGTAAATTTCAAAAATGATTTTTATGATTTTTTTGTTTTTGTTTTTTGCAAGGCACAGTACATCTTTAACAGTACAGCCATTTCAGAGCTACAATATTTCAATTTCTTAGTATATAAAAGATTGCCTATACGTGCATTATAATATTGACAACTGATGATGTCAGTGCACACAACCGAAAGATGTCTTGGGCCGATAAGGTAATTTTATTAAAACAAGCTTCACCTATAACGAAACTAAGAATTGTTGTGGTGTTGTTTAAAAATATATTCTCTATATAAACATTTTCTGTATTGATGGTGTAAGTGGCTATAGATAAGATGTCATATGTAAACCTATAGATAATATCTCATTCTGCCGTGTTTTTGTCAACAGTGCTTTATTGAATAAAGTGATATACAACAACAATATATATATATATATATAAATATATATATATACACTTTTGCTTTATGCGTTTTATTACTATTTTATTGAAGCCGATGCCGACAGTGTTAAAACCTGTCTCTTATACACATCTAGATGTGAGCGTTTCTAAGTCCTATGGCTGGACCCTACCTAGGCCTACCCCATAAATAATAACCTATATTAAATCTGATCAACTTTCTAAACTAAACAAGTAATATTTTAGTGGATAAGTTCATTCCATTTCTGATGCAACAAGGACGTGTGTAAGATGTATATTATTCGCCGGTATATCAGAAAACTATAATGAAATACAAAGGTAGTCTGACATTTTTACATATTTATGCACTTTGATTCTAGTAAGTGATGCATCGTCTAACATAGATTGCGGCTACAATAATAATTATTTTAGCTTTGTTGAATCAGACCAAACACTTGGCTTGAGACTCGAGTTCCTATTACATCATAATAAAGTTATAGGCTACAACTCTTTGAATGACTGTTTGACAATTATTAAAAGCAATCACTTGGCTAATGTTTACCCACCAACCGTTCTCTTGTCCAGACACTCACCACCACGTATTTGCCTGTTACTTAACAATACCCTAGCTAATTAGTTGTATTGACTGGTGTGCTGAAATCCAACGATTTTTTTCCAGCGCCACGGACGGTTTCTGATTGTAGAATACAGACCTGACAATGTCTGATTTACACTACGAACTTGAATAGCTGATATCATATTTCATAAGGCAACGATGAGAATACACAAAAGCTAAATGAGAGATTAATTGTTATACAAGTGATTGTAGTAAGTAGGAGGAAGGCATCTTAACATCGGTATTCAGTGGAAACGATTCTGTCGATAACCACACGTGTTGGTTAAATGAGATGAAAATATTAACTAAATACGTAACGACGTATTAAATATCGATTAACAAAGCAATAAACGGATCTCAATCAGCGTGTGTGTAATGTACACATTAGACACAAAGGCACGCGTGGTACGCGTGGAGGTACGCACAACACAGACACGCATTCAAATGCATGTGCAGACACGGAAATTATTATTATTATTATTATTATTATTATTATTATTATTATTATTATTATTATTATTATTATTATTATTATTATTATTATTATCATCATTATTATCATTATTATTATTATTATTATTATTAATATTTTTATTATTATTATTATTATTATTATTATTATTATTATTATTATTTCTAAGCTTTTCTAAGAAGGGAATGCGATTGAATAGGGTTATATCTTATCGTAAGGAGGGAAATATAATTTTATTTTGGTAGGTGTCAGGCTGGAACCGGAATGTGCATGGTTGATAAAGCTCATCGCAATCAATGCCAAGCTTGTCGACTCAAGAAATGTCTCGAAAGTGGAATGAATAAAGACGGTAAGTGACAGACCTATATAATACTGGAGGGCTCACATTCATTTTATCTTCGTATACTGGCAATAAATGTACCGCCACCATCCTACTTTATTCTGTGGTTGGTCGCAGATGCAAGCGCAACGCGAGTCTCATTTATATCTACGCACTTGTTAAAATGAGTCAGGTAAAACATGAGGAACTGCCAACCTGTTGTTTTTTGCAATAGGCAGACCCATTCGAAACCTGTCATTATTATCAATCAACCTATCAACTGTGGATATCTGTAATTTGAATATACCAATTCGACACGCACCATCAATAGATCTCTTTTAAAATGATTTTTGACTGAGTGTCGTATCCAAGCAACGGGTCCTTTAGAATGATGGATAGGGCCCAAAATGAAATTAGACCAGAAGAGCCACGCAACGCAGCACATCAGATTGGCGCGTAATTATATTGATTAGAAAATATTTCTCTCTAATTCGATCACATCTCATCGTCTGCCTTTCGAATCAAATGTGATGGCGCAAAGTATTAATTGAATTTGCATTAAAGTGTTGAAAGCACTAAATGCATGTAATATTTGCCCTTCGGCGATTCAAAACATATTAGCTATGAGTATTACATTAGGCAATGGAAACTATTTGTTTAAACCACAGTGAATTTATTTAAAAATCACTTTGTTACTTCAGAAATCATTAAGATTATTGAACGATTTTATTATCCGACGAAAAATTGACAATAACATTATTTTGTATTTTAGAGGGCAAAACTCAACCAATAGACCTTTCCGCTAAGCCCCGCCCCTTGGATATTGTTGCTAAGGTCCCACAAAGCGACAGTGTTAAAACATACGCGAACACGTGCGTTTGTGGCACAGCACGTGGGTTTGTGAGACGCGCGCGTATTCCTAGCGCTGTTTTGATTAGTCAGTTGTTAAGTTTGATTGACACTCCGGAAAGGTCTATTAGGCGTACTGTCTCAAAATGATACTAACTGATGAGGTGACTGTGTGACATATTAACGGTCACACTGGTATGAGTTTACTGGTTAGGAGGAACGCACTAGTGGTGTAGAAACCATCGCCTTCCATCGAGTATACAGACTGTATTAACGCTGTCTATGCAACGGTCTAGAAACTAGGGAGTGGACCTCCTTGACTGATCGTAAAATCTAAAATAAATAAACGAGGAGTTAAAGAAGAGAAAAAGTAACTAACCTAAAAACCCATTATTTTTCACGCTACAAAGGAAATTTGTAATTTTAAATAAATTTTAGTTGCAGAAGCATGTGCGTCATTATAAGATTAAATAGCAAATTTATCAAAATATTTCCGTGTGCCAAATTGAGCGATCTTAGGAAATGGTAATGATGGTGTAAAACGAATACAAGAAAAAAAAAACAGATGGATTCGAGAATAACATCATTTCTCGAATCATTAATATCATAGAGCGTCAGTTGTTGCAGATGAACTAACTATCGATAAAAACGGCGGAAGAAAAGTTTAAATGTGAAACGAGCTTATACTAATCATCTACGATAGAACAACAGTCAACAAAAAACCTACAACTACAACTTACATTAAACGAGCTCTCTAATTTGTGATCATTAGGATAAAAACTATAATTTTATACCTACAACTTAAACTCATATTAAATAAAAGAGCAGCGTAGGTTGAACTATAAATTATTAATGAAACGAAATGGCCATCATTTGTTGTTATATAAGTCCAATTGTTCAGCGTTAAATGAAGATGTAAAGCAAAATGTCATAAAAGGGAGGACTGATCAAAAAATTACGATGCTGAAATTTATTACATTGGATCAGATCATATTTTTGCATTTGTAAACCTTCTTTTCCAAATATTTTTAGCCGTTCAAAATGAAAGACAACCCCGCAGTACGTCACAAATCAAAATTGACAGAGCTCCGATTGTCACTGCCGTTGACCAGAGAGATTTGACATCCAATGTACTTCAAGGTAGCCGCGAACCTAATTCATTAAACCACATACAGACGAATGGGCAAAGGAGTCCATTGGCAACCCATCGGTTTATGGTTGGACTAATGAATGCTGAAACGTGTGCCAAACTCGAGCCAGAAGATGGTAAGTTAGACTTGTTTAACAATTATGTTTTGACTGCAATCCCAAAAACGAAACATGACAGGTCTGATACGGATACGAATACGAATACGACGAATAAACTCTATTTATCTTTCATAAAAAATAAAGAAGAAAAGTATCTTCAGTTGGCAAAAACAGAATACAAAAACATTATATATACAATAGTATTTATTCAATCAAAATTCATAAAAACATAAAACAGCCAAAAAAGGCTGAATTACGAATTATGTTTACAAGAGGATTAACTAAAAAATATAATAAAGGAAAATTACAAAACCAAAAAATAAACCACTGCGCAATCATAACAATAAATGTATATATAAAATTGTTTGAATAATTACATTAAAATAGCTGAACAATAATTATATTAAAAAAGAAAACTATTTAGAAAATCACATTATTTTTAAAATTATTGTTGATCATTATTAAAATCCCAATAGAAAAAAATCTAAAGATTTCATTAAAATTGGTTAAAAATAAAAAATAATATAAGTAATACTAATAATGATATTATCGTGGTCACGTTAACTCTTCAAGGGGTTTGTTCAATTCATCACATTCATGTAATTTCCGGGTCATATGCCTGTTTCATGACATCAAGAATTCTACCAACTTAAGTTTTGTTTATCAGACCTATCCGCTTTCTTATTGACATTTTTTTAAATTAAAAAGTAAAATTTTTTTTTTTATATCGGTAACAACTCCACTCCCTAATCCTCATTATCTCAGTCTCGCGTTTAAAGGTGGAGAATAACCCGTAACTCGCAGCGTGTTGAATTGCGTATGGGCGTGGTCCGTGATTACTTGTAGCAGCATAGAGAAGCGCTTAGTCTACCATGGTCTACCGGTACCCAGAGGCCTACTCATTCCACGCTGAATAGAAATTAGTCACAGCATCGTCCGAAAGATGCGATGGGTTCTTTGAAGTGCAAACGAGTCATATATATACACTGTACCTCCAGTTTTTAATAAATGTTTCCAAATTGATATAACAAATACAGAGAGAAAGCATTGAGGAAAATACAGGAAATAATATCGAATATAATGGACAAGTTTATAGCAAATAATGGTTCTTGACTATTGGTGCAATGTATTTGATTTGTTGTATACACAGGCTACATAAAAAAAAATGGAATAGGCGGATCCACAGAAAAATGTAGGACCACGTGCGAAGGACCGAGCCGGGGTTGGGTTGGGAGAAGTGGAGTTTGAGATCTTTAAGTTGGAAATGCTTGAATATAGACACTGGTAAATGCAATTTAAATTGAAAATTAGCTTGTTTTGTAGTACCATGCTCCCGTTTTTGTTTTTGTTTTTTTGGGGGGGGGGGCGGAGATCCCACGTTGCCTTCCTGGATCTGCTTCTGATTACTTTAATAAGGGTGAAGGCAGAGAGGTAATAGAGTACTGTAACGTCTGTTGGGCACTGGCCGCAAGATTAAAAGACTTTTGAAAATAGATACAATTAACTAACGTATGAATTTCTCCTTACGGGCTTAGATTAAAGCACACAGAAACCGAGATGTGGACGACAAAGGCGTTGGGTTTAACGTCCCTTGACAATTCAGATCGATTGAAATAAGTAAAATTGTTAAAACTAAACCAGATAAATAAAGCTCCTTTCGCAACAATCTAATTACGCTTCAACTTCTTAAAAATTATCTCACTACATATCCCTTCTCATATTTCAATGAAATAATAACTACAAATAAACATTCATAAAACTTCAAAGGCGGCCGAAAGAGAGATTGAATTTATATATTTGTTAAAATGGAAACATCGTATAGCTGACCACCAAAAATTAAAAATAACCAAGATCATTGAAATGGATAGTGGCTTAATAAATAAAAATCAATAAGATGTTTTCCTATTATCTATTTAGCAATGCACATTGCAGAAACCACAGGTTATTCCCACGAAGAACAGATGCAGTATGGTATGGAAATGGTCGGCCCACCACGCGAATTCACGTTCTTCCACGCTGGGCGTGAGAATGTATACGAATATTCGGCTCGTCTTCTATTCATTGCCGTCAAATGGGCGAAATCGCTTCCATCGTTTGCTCATCTACCATTCAGAGACCAGGTATTGAATAAAAATATTTAGGTCATCAATACCGTATACTATATCATTATTGTAGATTCTTGTTATATATAGTAGTTATTATTATTACTACTGTTGTTATCAATATTATTCTTGTTATCATCAATTCTTATTATTGTTGTTATCTATTATTAATATTATTATTATTATTATTATTATTATTATTATTATTATTTTATAAATGAATTACATAATACTGTAATAATAATATTTGTTGTAGGTTATTTTGCTGGAAGAAGCTTGGAGTGAATTATTTCTCTTGTGTGCCATCCAGTGGTCGATGCCACTCGACTCCTGTCCACTTCTGACAATTTCAGAGTTCTTCAAAAATGCAGAAACCAACAGCAAATCATCAATGATACTGTCTGACATCCGGGTCCTTCGAGAAATAATAAGCCGATTCAAAGCCATTGGAGTTGACGCGGCAGAATTTGCTTGCATGAAGGCTATCGCAACATTTAAACCAAGTAAGATACGGTAAATTTTTTGTAAAAATAAATTTACGGTATGATGAATCTCTGTGACACCCCATGATGCATAGGCCTACATAAGGGCCTAGAAGATATTATGACTAGTAAACTATAGGCCCTAACCCTCTTTGGTATACATCACCATCACATCGTGCACGACACGCGTCACAGAACACACGATGACGTAAAAGCGTGTCTTGTATATAGCGTGGTTTCAATAAAATCGATACGCAACTGCCGACAGCTTTTGGCGACGCCGATTGGTCGGTCGTATCGGGGACAGCTATAGCCTGGGTGCAGTAGGAAATTAGCGGGAAAAAAGTAAAGGAAAATTTATTTTTGGTTTTTCTGAATCAGTATATCATATAGTGTCTCAGAAAAAAAATCCCCATTCTTAGAGCTTGGGCAATTTTTTTTTTAAAGCACTTTAAAGTTTTGACATAAAATATCCTATTTTGGGCTAATTAAGATGGGGGTAGGGGAAATAAATGTATGTTTTTAGTCACTTTTACATATGCTATGTATATCAAATGTAACAAGAACTTGGCTAAATAGTTACTCCTCACTCTCGTTAAAAAA